TATATATATATATATGTATATATATATATGAGATGCAGTTGCCTATAAGAAATGTGTATATGTATGTTTAATTTTTAATTTTTTTTTTTAAGTGGAGTATTTAGCCCTTTATTTAAACAAGGTTACCAAAATATTAGAAATGGCTCTCAATATGATGGCACCATTGCAAATTTCAACCACAATAAAAAACATATTGATAAATTAATACCTCTCTGACAGTGTCACTCGCAACTTGGTACTGTAACTTTTTAAATGTAAAATACGTGGTCATAACGTTGAGGGAATCTTTTTTTTGTTGGTGTTATATTGCATACTTTCTAGATGAAATCCTCACAACTCCAGTCTCATGTTCAGACATGTACTTTCACCTGGAATTTAATTCCAGACCTTATTTCACATATTCTACATTCTAGTGCTGTAGTGTACATGTCAAATAAAGTCATGACACGCACAGCTCAATTATCATAGTTTAGTATGAAACTATAATTGAGCAATAATTTACAGTTTTCCACTTTGTGTACAGCACACCAGTGGGATCATCGGGGTGGCTGACATGTGTCTAAAGTAAAATGAGAAAGTGGCATGTTGTACTGCATGCTATTTATAGTATATATATATTTACTGTTGTAGTTAGATATCTGTGTGTCTGGATGTATGAAGACACTTACCTCCTGATCTTCCACCAGTGTCGCCACTCTTCCAGGCTGTGGAAATATAGAGCACAGTTGTTGTCAGTACACATTATGTAGCAACAATTTTAGAAAAAAATATATAATTTACAAAAATGGCATGGAAGTCTCACATTCTCCTTGTCTCCTCGATAAAAGTCATCTCCGTGCCAGAAACGCCGTTTGTAGCCCTTGATGTAGCCTATTATGCTCCTCTGGTAGTCAAAATCAGGCTTCCAAACTAAGGATCCATAACCAAAAACCCACAGGCTTCCTTTGCATTGCAATATCTCTTGAGGTTTCATGGCAGCGAGATGCTTAGCTTTTCCCAACCAACCAAACGTTGTTTTTTTTAACGCTCGAAGTATTTTAAAAGTGAAAAGTTTCTCGCTAAAGTCTCATTCTGCAAGCGTACGGACAAGTCAGAAGCACTTCGAAGATCTTCAGAAATCTCCTGCCAAGGTGTGGAACGAGCGCGTCCTTCGTTTAGGCGAACACGTGTATTTGTTGTTAATGTGACGTCACAGCAAGGCGACCTCGACCAATGGGAGTGCGACGGAGGCGGGGTTTGGGACAGTCACTACCACGTGGAAGTGCTGATGCTTTTTCCTTTCAATGCTCACTCAAAACAAAACTCTTACTTCTATACACTAACCGAAAGGAAAAACACAAGTCTTTGTTTCGTTATGGCTTTGTTTGTGTCTTATTTCACAACTTTTCCGACAGGTCATGAAGTATTTATTGTCATTGCATGGATACTCACCAGATTTGTGTTACCAAGAATGAAAAATACAATATTTTTAAAACAGTCTACTTATACAGTGACTGTGCTGTCTTAAACTCCATAATCTAAATGGGACAGAAGAAATGAACCAACCTCTATATTCGTCTTTACTTTCAAATTTAACTTGGAGCAGATGCGTGTGGTGTCAAACTGATCCACTTGCGCAATTAAACTTTGATTCACTCGTCCTCGTTCATAACTGCTTCAAACATCAAGGCGTATGTAGGAATAGTTGTTAGGATTGTATTATTATCCACGTTTTATGTTTTGTGTTCTGTTTTATTAGTTGTTTTATGTTAAATGTTCTGGAAACTGATTTGTTACAGCTGCAGCTCTTGCGGAAAGCGTTGTATAAATAAAGACCCGTGTGGTCAGTTCAGCTGCAAAGCAATGATTTATGAGCCACTGCTCCACCTGAAATATCTTCTGCCTGTCAATGATGTCAAGACACCCCCCCACGCCCCCCCCAACTCATGTCCAAATTAGGGCCCTCAAGTGGTGGCTGCTGGCATTGCCGCGTGAACTCAGCAAGGTTTTTTTTCCTCCACATTCAGGTCATTCGTTTTTAAATGCACCCAGGGCCGTGAATTTGAAACTCCTGATCTAATGCTTGTTTGCCTTTGTTAGAAAAAGTCAAGTGTGATAAAAGTCTCATGGAAATATATAGAAATATGTAGAAATATGCTTGACGCATTATGACAGCTTGTGGGTGTGACACAATTCATCAGAGGCCCAATGTCATGTATTTTGATCAACGTGACATAAGTAGTAAACATGTCGGAAACAGCAGAGAATTGTTTATGATCATTTGCATGGATGTGAACGAAATGAGAAACTTTTTTGTATGTGCAGATATGACAATTATACGATAGTTAAACAGATACTTCTGAGAAATTCAATTCTGACCTGAGAAATGTACCGCGGCAACTGAGAAAAACTAATGTGCATGGACGGCTGATGCGAAGTATAGACTGCTTGCTGGTCTGTGACAATTGTTTTCAACACAACAGGCAGAACAAGTGAGTTTCTTGTAGATTTCCCTTCCACACAAGAAAAACTACAACTCTACTCACTCTAAAGGTGGGAAACTGCTACTTTGAATTCATCGGGCTCTTTCGTGACAGCACTGTTTGTAAAGATGAGCGACACGGAAAATGTGCTGCTCACGAAACCGAGGCGGTCTCAACTTCGGCATCTCTCAGTATTTATTCCAGTGAATTGCAAATAGACACAAACATCACTTAAGAGGATTTAAAAGACCACAATGATTATTTATTTCTGCATACAGATTTTTTTTAAATGCATATATCTCTTTCTATATTTTCATATTTGATTGAGTAGATCTTTACATTGCTGCCAATTACAAACGAGTATACCGAATGATGATTGCTAGCACACAGATTTCACATCACACTCATAATGATGCCATTAAAAACAAAGACACGGAACCCATAAAATGCTACCAAATCGACTCTAGTTGACTTGAAATCACACTTCTCTATTTGACCACTTTGTTCACTCCACCATTGAAGACTGACAAATAAACAGTGTACCAGATATGTATTAAGGTTTCTGTCCTTATATATTTATATAATAACAACCAAATAATAATAATAATTAAACACCAAAATCACTTTCAAAATAAAAATTCACACTGTTGGTGCATCACCTGACAAACATATTTTTAATCTTAACATAAAAATATACACTATATACAAAATAATCTTATAAAAACAAGGAAGAAAAGATCAGTGCGTCATTTTCTTAAATAACTAATCAAATACTAAAATAACATAACATTATTGGTTCAGTCATTTCCATTGAAGGCGTCCTTGGTACAATAGTCACGTATTTCTTTGTCTTCAGTGTGATTTGTTTGCATAAGATTTCAAAACTTATCAAGGCCTTATCATGAGTTTCCCTGCATGTAATTCTTGTGTTGCATCGCTTTGCATCTTTTTTTGCCCTTCTGTGCAAAGGAATCAAGATAAGATAAGACTGGGGGCAAAATGTTTTGCTGAAATATATAAGGCTTTGCGTTTGAGGCTGCATTCTGGACATTCTGTGATTTTTTTTTGTTTTTTCAAACCTGACCACCAAAAATGAACCGTTTTCAGTCGCCTTGAAGACGAGCAGGTTTTTGTTTTCGTCAGGGGACACAAAGGAAATGGCAAAAAGCCAACTCCTCCTCCACGCTTGTTGCACATTCTTTCATGTGTTGATTGCTGCAATAAGCCGGAGGGGATCGCATCAACAAAGTCCTCTTACCCTCGTTAACATGCAAATACGGTATGAGCCTCAAGGCCTCATATCTTCAGATGAACACGGATGTCGGAAATAAAATCGCAAACATCCGGATGAACAACGTTCAGTTCCAAAGTCTTTACATTCTTCCATAGTTGAGTAGCTTTAGTGCTATTGCATTCGTTGAGCGCTTGGGCTCCGTCCAGTTATCAAGTTTTCAAGAGCAGCAACTTTGCATTTAAATATATCCCAGTCCCTCCCCATGCTTGTAAACAGTCCACAAGAAATGGTGGTCACGTCTGTCATTTATCACACCTAAAAACACAAAAGAAAGATACAACATCAGTGACCTAAACGGCAAAATTAGGAAAGACACTGAAAAATTTATTGAAAGACTAAATATACAGGGTGGGTGTCCCCGTAAACACAGACATCATTGCCAAATATTCAAAAATAGGGCTGAACAATTTTGAAAAATAATCTAAATGTGATTATTTGTTTTCCTCAATATTGCGATTACGATTTAATAGACGGCTGTCGTTTCAAGATCCATTTGAAAATGAGAAAGCTCGAGAGCTGATTTTAAAATTTTGCTACTGATCAATAAATCCCTGAATGGTTTGGGTCGTGAATACATGAAGGAAATGTTCATTCAATACAAACCCAGCAGGGTTCTGAGGTCTGCAGACTTGAGTCGATTAGTAGAGGGTTTCAAAGCAAACATGGTGAAGTGGCATTTAGCTGTTATGCTGCATGCAAATAGAATAAACTGACAATGGGAGTGAAGTCATCTTAAAGTGTAAATGCTTTTAAATCCAGGTTAAAGATGATGCTATTTTCCATGAGTAAGGTCCTTTTGGCATTTTTAAAATCAATTTCACTCCAACGATCTTTTGGTAAGTTCAGAAAGCTATTTTAAACTTAATTCCTTTGCTTTTAAATGTCTTTGAATTTTTTGATTGTAAATGTGCGTCAATGTTGTCAACGTACATTCTTCTGGTAATTTTAATACTACTTTCGGCGCCACATGGTCGACTGCTTAGCTCGTCGGCCTCGCAGTGCAGAGGTGCAGGGTTTGATTCCGGCCCCAGTCTTCCTGTGAGGAGTTTGCATGTTCTCCCTGTGCCTGCGTGGGATTTCTCAGGGTAGTCCGGTTTCCTCCCACATTCCCAAAACATGCATGGCAGGCTGATTGAACAATCTAAATTGTCCCGATGTGTGATTGGGAGTGCAGATGGTTGTTTGTCTATGTGTGCCCTGCGATTGGCTGGCAACCGGTTCAGGGTGTCCCTCGCTTACTGCCCGAAGACAGCTGGGATAGGCTCCAGCACACCCCACGTCCCATGTAAGGAGAAGTGGTTTAGAAAATGGATGGATGGATAACACTACTTTTGTTTTCTACGCTTTGCAAAGGTCTTCAGTTGTTTGTAAATGCTTTTATATGTTGGACTTTTGGTTGTGTGAAACACATTGAGTTGTCTTGTTCATGATTTGTGCTATGTACAGCAAATAAAGGTGACTTGCCTTTTCCCAATGTATTATTATTTTTAGTAATCAGAAGGAATAAATAAATCTGTACAACAGCACTGTCATATGCATTATAAATAAATGCTTTGTTTTATAGTTAGGCTATGCTAAAATAAAGGCAAATGAACCATGAAGTAATATCAAAGAAAGTTAATTTATCTACTTATATTAGAGCTATTAATTTAGTAAACACTGACTTGCAATCTTAAGTATTCACTACAACAAGAAGTTGAACTGATTTCCACTTCGCGGGCATTCTGGGAAATTTGGTGGGTTGTCATCTCTGCAAAAATTAAATGGAAGGAATTGGGGCCTCCCATGTTACCCATGGAAAAGCAAGCATGGAAAACGTACCTCAGTTGCAATGATGCATTCCTGTTTCTCTTCTGCTATCAAAAAGACGGACTGGTACATGGACTCTCTGGAGGAACATATTGTTGATATTCTGCATTCTGGCCTTTCACTGCAAAGACATATCACGTTGGGTTATTGGTCCTGTTGGACTTACCTTCAGCTGATTTTTACACTTTAGGACAAAGGCTTGTAAACTAGTTAAATGTTTTACCATTAATTCATATTTTATTGTTACCGGCTTCAAGAAATTAAGGTTATTTTATTCATTATATCTTTTTTTTTTTTTAATAATCAGCTAATCAATTCATTATTGCAATTTTAGTCTGCCAAATATCAGATTTGGCAACAGCGGCAGAAAATCCATATCAAAGTCAAGATATGGTTGTATTCACATTTGTGGTATATAAGCACCTACCTGTACATTCTACTCAGATGCTTTTTATGTTCTATCATCTTTTCACAGTTTTCATCTTTCTCTAGGAGGCATTGTTCATCTTTGTACCCCATGGAGGTTTTATAGTCCGTGTGGAAATGGTTGATGTGTTTGCGGTTGAACTTCTCGCTAGAGCAATCCACCTCCAAGTCCATCTTCTTGTTGATATTCTTGAGCTCCAGCGTGGATATAACGTTGTCTTTCTGGAAATCCGCCTTGGAAAGGTTGTTCATGGTCTCAGAAGCCTGCTGTTTGCTTCTCTGCTTCTTCACCTGTTTCATGACCACGATGACCATACAGGAGAGCACCAGAGCTACCACCAAGCCGACGCCCGAGCTGACAGCCACCCAGTTGAGCTTGTCGCCGGACTCCCAGCCAGTGTTAGGACTGTTGGATGAAGGCGCGTGCGGAGACCCGCACTGAGGGCCGCTGTAATGGGTGGGGCAGAGGCAGGAAGGCTGGCCTTTGGTGCCGACAGTGCAGGTGCCGCCATTGAGACAGATCCAAGAGGCGCAGCGGTCAGTGGGCCTATCACAGTGGCGTCCGGTGTAGCCGGGCGAGCACAAGCAGGTGTAGTCATTGATGCGGTCTTGGCAGGTGGAGCCATTAGCGCAGGGATTGGTGATGCACTCGTTGACGTTGATCTCGCAACGGAGGCCAGTGAAGCCTGCGCGGCAGCTGCATGCACGCAGGTTGCCGTTCATCACGCAATGGCCGCCTAATGGACAGAGAACATCCATCGGTGTTAGAGCCAGTCACAAGAAGGAGTCATGCCATGCCTCCCACAATATAATGAAACTCCTTTCAACTCTGCACTTTGATGCATCTAGTCATTTTATCACTCTAGATAAAAGATCCAATGTTCAACAACAAAGAGTTTGAAGCAAACAGCAAAATAATCGGATACTGTGATCATATTTCTAGTGCAAGGGGCGCTCTTGCATAAAAATTACCATTGAAAGTGCAAGAACTTGGTTTCTATTTATTTTCAGAAAAATCAACTCACACAAAATTTTAATTTCACTGAGGTACATGTATGTGGTACATGCATGTACAGTAACGAGTAGTTCGATCAGCATCTGGTGTGTCAGACAGCGAATCGCTTTCAACACAACAGAGCTGAAGAAGTGAGTGTCAAGTGTCACACTTCACACCCCTGTCCCGCCTTTAAGCCATTGGCTTTTTAATAAGCATCATACCGCCTATTTGTTCTACTTTCGAAGTCAGACTCATGGCAGGATGTCCTGCCCATCAGTGTCAATGCTGCCAATAGAAATTAGCAACCTAGAAAAATGTTGATCCCGCAACTGAATGGCGTGGTGGTGCCTTACCATTGGTGCATCGCAGGGAGGTGCATTTATCCACTTTCTTCTCACAGTTAAGTCCAGTGTAGCCCGCTGGACACTCGCAGATGTAACTCTGACCGCTCTCTGTCTCTTTACACTTGCCGCCAAGCAAGCAGGGCATGTCCTTGCACGTCAGCGTACGTTGTTCACAGCGCGGCCCGGTAAAGCCGAGTGGACATTCACACCTGTATCCAGTCTCTGTCTCCTGAAAGCAAAGAACGATATCGAAAAGCTCAGCGTCAGATGTTTTCCCCCCCCCCCCCCCCATCTATCCTTTAGTTTTCATCCTATTTACAGTACACTGTAAACTGGGAACTGGGTCAACCAGGACTTGACAATCAATGGCATCCTCCTGGACTCGCAGATAGGCAAAGGCAACAACAAAAACAGGAAAGTCTGTGTTGTGGGAAAGGAGCGCGAGGGACTTCCGCACTCACTAAGCAGTTGCCTCCGTTGCGACAGGGCCGTCTGTCACACTCCCTGACCTCCGAGTCGCAGTTGACTCCAGTGAAGCCCGGTAGGCAGGCGCAGGTGTAGCTTCCCTGGCCCGTGTTCATGCATGTGGCCCCATTGGCGCACGGCTTGTGGTGGGTGCAGTAGTTCAGGTCTGGAGAAGCGAGGGCACCGTTATACTCTCGATTTTCAGCCTGCTTGTCCTGGAAATGATTTTGCTTCCATAAAGGAAAAGTTCACCCACCCTGGTCGCAAAGGATACCCCCCCAGCCTTCCTTACAGGCGCACTCCCACGGCTCAGTGCAGGTACCATGTTTACATGATGGGTGCAGTTTACACACATCACAAAAGACGCCCTGCCACCCTTCTCTGCATCTAAAACAAAGACAAGTAAAAGGCCACAATTAATATTGGATCAACACTCACAACAGAGACGTGCGGGGGTAAACCCAATACCACCACCACGACAGATTTATAACGCTTCCATCATGTCAGTCTAATGTGAAATAAAAGATGTTTAAGATAAACACGAAATGTTTCAATGCTGTTGTTATTGCCATCAAAGATAATAATAACCAAATACAATAAAAATAGAAAATAAACAGCAGGACGAACTCAATCTAAATATCTAAAATATTGAAATGTGATTAAACCTAAGTGTTTAAAGAATGCTACATTTGAACATTTTTACACTTTTTTTTGTCTTAGAAAAAAAGTTGACCTAATAAAATTGTCTGTTTATTTCATCAAGGTTTTACGATGGTGGCAGTTTGTCCCATGATTAAAATATGGTTTTCCATTGTCGGAGAAGCCCAACTTTTGAGGTTCCACCGCATTTTTGGTGGAAAGAACTTTGCCAAGTATTGAATCCATCCATTATATCTACACTCACTTTTCTCACCCCTCTCCTCTGGAAAACACCACAGAACACTAAAGTCTATAACCATGAGGCCCATACAGCTTCTACCACCAAGCTGTGAAATGCGCCACCCTCTTTCACACACACACACACACACACACACACACACACACACACACACACGCGCGCGCGCAAACACACAGACAAACTAATGACTATCGCCCCCCCTTTACACTTATATGCAATATAATGAATAAGATTCTGGTCAATTCTGTCTGATCCCCCAAAAATCTATGCAATACCTAAATGAAAATAATCCATCTACTACCATATCATAAAAGAGACATTCTATAAAATACAAATAACTTTATGTTCTGTCAATAATTATTTTCATGATTGTGAACTTCTGAACTCAGTGCTGCAAATTGTGACATTTCTAACTGATTTTCATTGCTCCCATGGCAGTGACAAAGTTATTTTCTGTCCTAAATATCAAATAATGACTTGATAGTACTTTAAAGTTCCTGTGGGAATCACAAGCAACGATAAAAGTGCACTGATCTGTTGCAAATACTCACTTGCATTCTCCAGGTATTGTGCAATTTCCATTATTTTCATTGCACCCATCCAGACAGATCGCTGTGGGAAAAAATATAATAGAAGGATGTTAAAGCTTAACCTTTTCCTTGGATAGGGTTTTCTTGTCAAAGTTGCTTCCTGGTGTTTGAATGGAAAGGCACAATTTGCCCCCTGCGTTCTGCATGTGACATTGATTTTGCATGCTGTTAAATGGCCGGTAGCGATGGTGCAGAGCAGATGCTTGTTCTTAATGCACCCCCCCACCCCGCTCCAAAAAAAAAAAAAAAAAAAAAAAAAAAAGCATGACAGCTGTCCCATTGTTGTTAGTGGGCAGCTTCGAGCCCCGTTTGCAGCTGCTGCCCTGTAGCACCGCAACAATAGAAGCCGCAATTTAGTGGCGCGTGGCGGCCTATAATGCCGCGATTAACCCGGCGTGTGCTGTTCACAGAGCACCTCACTGGATTAAACGCTGAGAGAAAGTGCGCCAATTCTTCACATTGGCCCCTTAACTGCCACTGGACTTGCACATACAACGGATTCAGGGGTGCCCAAAGTCTGGCTCAGGTGCCGGCTTGCTGCATGTTTTTATACATAAAACTAAACCTGGTTGAAAATAAAACTAAATCTGGTTACAAGAAGAAGTTAAAATGTTGAAAGATAGCTTACATTTTATAAAATAAAAACGGAACCATATTTAATGGTTCTAAGGCATCAGACCTTTTGATTTTAAATTTTAAAAAATGTCTGATGAATTTCATAGCACACTATTATTTTTAAAAAATAGGTATCACATGAATATGAACACATTTTCGAATGTTTTTTTTTCTTTGCCTGTTTAGCATATGTTGACCCTCCAGCATCTTGAAATTTTTTTAATCATATTTCAGAAACACTTGTCATGACTCCCCTCATCCATTCATTTTTCTGAATGTAGCATTCAGTGAAAAAATGTGGACATCCCTGGCTAAGTGAAAGGTTTAAATGTAACTGCGTGTTCGTCAGAGTAAATTTTGCAGCACATATATAGCAAAAACAAAGTAAAACGCAGAGCAAACTGCACAAACTGAAAGTCTACTACTACAAAGCCGAACAAGCAAACCACTGACTTGTGCCCTTCTAAGACAAACAAAGAAAAAGTGCCCATATGGTGTCTTTACTCGTGCTTACGTTCTTGGCAGTATTGTCCCTTCCATCCTGGCAGACACGCTATTTGCCCATCAGGCTTGCAGGTGTAGTGGCCAAAAAGGTCGTCTCTGGCAGCGCATATTTTGGAACAAGTGTCCCCGTAGTAATTGTCATTGCAGATGAAGCGGTATGAGTACCTTAGCTCCGTCTGCGTCCCGCTCTGCACATCCTGGGACCATTCATTCCCTATTCCCAACTGTCTTTGGATGGCAAAAGAGCCAATCAACAATTCAGAGTGGGTGGTATCTGGAGGAAAAAATACAGGAGTTGTTCATGATAGGAGTATTGTATACAAGTCTGCATAGGGCCCTCAGCAGAATTTGATTTTGAGGCCCTCTATTTATGCTAATAAAGCATGCAACTGAACTCAAACTCTATTTTAAGCTGTATGTTCTATGTTCTTGATATCTATGGATTGATGATTGATGTTTTCATTCATTCTAACAGACTGTATTTCATGCATTTTACTTTCAAGTATAGCGGTACCAGTGCTACACTTTGAGAATCACCGAGCTAGGCCTAAAAAAAATGGCACCAACAAGACAAGCATTAAATGCCACAAACAAAATCCTTTGGAAATATAAAACTAACTTAAATTATACAAAACAGAGTATTAAACACAACAAGTAATAAAATGTCAAGCAAATGCTTAAAAAAAGAATTATATATATATATCCGTTATAAGGGATACGTGGAACAAGGTGACTGCAGAGTTTAAAAATATAGATACAATGTTTAATAATTAGGTCTTAAAATTATGGGAAAACCCAGAATGTACTTTCTTCATGTAAATATTTCATTTTTTCATATTTAACTAACTCACGAAATAAATACTACACTAAGCTGTCTGTCTGTTAATTGCTCTTGGGGGCCCCCTCATGGTGGCAGGGCTCAAGACAGGTGCTTATTTGTCTTGTGCCTGATTTACATTGTTCGTGATCAATATGATCATTGTGGAGACTTTGTGAAAGGGTGGGGAAACTTTTTTGGCAACGGCTCATGTGCTCACTTAACATCGTGCACTTTCCCACGCAGGGCCAAAATAAAATAAAGGAAGTTGCGATTGTGTTGTGAGAGCTTTGCTTGAGGTATGAGTCACAAGACATCCTAGTGGACACAAGTCCAGGGCAAGGACAATGCCAGATGGATTTATTGTCACGTGACCTCCCGCCCGAAGACTGCTTATTGAATTTTGTGGAAATAGGTATGACGTAATTGGCCAATGAGTTGTGTTTTGTAGATGTCTCCCTCTAGTGGTTTTATATAATAATAATAATTTATTTATGTTTTTTAAAGTAATATTACCTCCAGGCTCCTCTGCAGACGAATGCCAAGCTTCAATAATGAGAGAGAAGGCACCCTGGGGATGGACAAATTGTGAAATACATCTCACCCAAAACTTTGCAATTGTGGCACGTGTAATCTAAAATGACATTGCAATCTGAATTTCTAAACACACACGCGCGCACACGCACACACACGCACGCACACACACGCACACGCACACACACACACGCGCGCACACGCACGCACA